ACCAGAGAGGGGCAGAAGCTGCAGGATGAGGATGTCAGTAAGGCCTACAGGTATCCAGAGCATGTACTTCCCTCTTGAACAACTCCTTCCACTGTAAAATATTCAGCTTCCTAATCCAACAGAAATGTTTTCCCTTCACAGATACAAAGCTCCCTGTTCCTACCAAATTAATCTTTTGGAGTAATAGTCTCTGAAAATTGTTTTTTAATGTACCAGTTTTGGGAGAAGTATCCAGAGAGAGAGAGAGAGAGTAAGAGAGAGCAACATGATGTTAAGATCAACTGATGCTCCATTCCTTTTAGTATCTTAAGTGTTTAGATTGCAGCCCAGCTTGACTTATCCCCATGTCAATTCTTGACATTAAGCCCTTTGATGATTCATCATTGGAGCAGAGAAGAGAAATTTTCTGCAGACTGGTTGGGAAAAACAGATGTCTTCCTAGTTTGCAGAACTGGCCTATATTTCTCACCCAAGAGTCAAACACCCAAGAGAATAATAATAATAATGATCTACACTCTTATATAAATGTAAAATAAAAGTTATTTTACATTTTTCTACACTGCCTTTCTTCAATACTCTTCTGAAGCTAACTTACTGACATTGTTGTTGACAGCTCTTAGTATGGGGTGGGCAAATCTACGGTATAAACTGAGGAGACGGTCCCATGTTCTTCACCTTCTGACATGATGCTTGGCCTTTCAGCTGAGTGACAAGTGGGAAGATTCATTCGCTCTGTGGCTTCAGAATTTCTTAAGTCTCCTGACCATCTAGACTGCTTGGAAATGATGTTAAATGGCACTATTGTGAGTTACTGAGAACTGTGTCTACATGAAGGTGAACTCTGATGGGAAAATCTCAGGTTATTCTCAAACTCCAAAGCATGCGAACTTACTACACATTCTTTAAGTGCTCTCCATCTGGCTGAGATAATGAGTAGAATGCTCAAGATATATAAAAATTACACACAAAATATCTAGTTGTTAAAATATGGCTTCATAAGGTTAATTTTAATAAAAAAGCACTATCGTCATTCTATGATGAGTCTTAGAATGTGAGGAATATTTCATGCATAGGCCCCTCCCTGAGCAGTACTTTGGGCATCAGTTTGATTTGTTTTATTGGTAGAGTGAGGAGCGTAAAGTCATTACTCCTTAGCCTTCTTATACAATGGTGTGCATGAAGGGAAATAAAGACATTGTAGGGAAGTTCAGCATAGATGTCTTTGAAGCTACTGTGGCCATTGAACCATTTGAAACAAGATAGCTTTTTTCTTCTTCCCCTTTTATGATTGCATAGGATTGGCACATAGTCATTGCCACTAATCTAAGTAAGTGTCTTGGTGTCAATGCAGAATGTATCAACCGTCAGGATCCAGAAAGTTATGCAGTGTTTCCCTCTGCTGTCTTTGTGAATAGAAGTTTGGTGGCTATGGAATGGAGCCTCCTATTGCGTATGTGATTCCTACAGCAAGGAGTGAGGTGGTAAACAGAGTCAGGAAGAAGGTGACTCGGGGATGGGCAATGTGGCAAAAGCAACACAGACAAGATGTTCATGGGGTCCATGAAGCACAGTCCTAGATAGCATAGCTCTCATGGCAAGATGAAAAGTGCTGCTCTAACAGACTGCTGTGGTAGTCTGCCGAGCAGCACGCCCACGTCTCCACAGAGTAGCATTTTTATTGCAGTATGACTTTCTTGGAAAATGAACAAAACTTTAAATAAATCACAATTACTTATTGCTTAATATTTGAGATAATAAATTCTTTAGTTTATCAGTACCTCATGGCCTTCAAATGTGCATTCTTCAAATAGTTTCAATTACATATATATTCTTTCTCCTGAACAATAAATTATTCTTTAAAAAATGGAAAAAGAAAAGGTACATAATTTTAAAGCAAAGGAAAAAAACATATATTTTAAACATTTGTTTTAAACTTATATGAAAACAATTCTCTATGTTAGATGCTTAAATATAAATAATAAAGGACATTATGTTATTTACAATGTTATACAGTAAGTTTAGAGAGTAAAAACTAACATTAACTCATAAAGACAGTAAATGACTTAAGGAAACATCCAAGTACTATACAATGTGTATTTACAAAAGAATATATAATAGAAATGGTGATGTGTGGCCATTTCCTTTTGTCTGCATTCCTCCATAGTGTTTCAGGGATCTTAGTGGATGGAAATCTCTGCAGCTGCTGGAATGCAGCCAGGACTAAAAGAGAAGGCCAGATCTTCCTTATCACTACTTGGAGCCATATATCTTCAACCTCAGGCCAAAAGAGAAATAGATACAGAGAAAGTTACCCTGGATAGACTCTACCTATATTGACAGTCACACAGAAACAGGAAAGAGATGGCATATTGCTGCTTGAGATACTTTCTCTCTTACACGGAGGACCATTATGTGAAAGCAGAAGGCTGTCCACCAGGCACTCTTGAGGGTAGGAGGATGAAAGGATGGGAAAGCAGGACAGAAAACAAATCTTGAGTAAGTTTGGTGTCAATTATACCCCGCTGTGTAACTCGCAGTAGTTTTGATTTCAGACCCAGGAAACACAGTTGTTATTAAATTCTGAGTAGTTTGTACTCCCTTAAAATGCAAGGCATCTTCCCATGTGCCAGGACCACAGGTGTGCATCCCTTTGCATTGCTACAGCTCTGCCCAGACTCATAAACAGGATGGTTGAGAGAGAGGCCCGGCAGTGAAGCATTGTAGAACGTCCCTAAAAGCATAAATCTAGAGGCTACAACAGGTTGCCCTGAGCAGCCAAGTGACTCTTCTCAATGAAGCTTTCTTGTCAGGGGAAAAAGGCTTTCTCAATCAATATGACAAAGTATGAGTTGCCAGATAAAGCATAGAAGAAAAACAATCAAATATATTTGCAATTTGAAAATTTATAGAGCTTCTGATGCTAGTAAAATGCTGCTTTTTTTTTTTTTTTTTCTTAATTGTTCTTATCAGGGGAGTCTTTTCCTGAAGGGAATTTCTTAATACCCTGGTGATGAACAAATCTGGAACTGAATTTTTAGGGTTTTAAAATAACAATAAGGAAACTGTGTTGTTGAATGATAGGTGAGTCAAAGCCTTCAAAGTCAATATTAAGCAACTGAAAGAAGTTTGGTGGCTTTTTTCCCCCCATGGTGAGCTGACCACCATCTGTAGCACTGGGAAGGCAGTGCAAGGCTTTTCACCAGCAGGCATTCCTCTATATGGGCTCAAATGCAAACGAGGGACAATACTCTGAGCACAGAGAAACTGTCCTGTGAACAATGGCAAGAAACATGAGACATCAAATAGTGACTTCAAGGGCCTCTTAAAACATGGAATAACACCTGACTTGTGGCCAGCCTGCAGTCTTCCTCTAAGACCTAGTCCAGTGTTATTACTTCCCTTGACTTAGAACAAAGATGTGGTAAAGAAAACAGATTCTGTTCAACTGAGAACAAGAATCAATAATTGCCATTGGCATGGTCAATCCCCTGTGCAACTGTTTTCCATTTTGCTGTGTAATTCCTACTTAGAAACTCAGAAAGTTCCAGTCCTGATTGACAGATAACCGACAGGGAATACAAAGGGTGCTGAGGGGTTATTCCTCCTCCCCCACACTTTGTCCCCCCCCCCGTATTAGCAGTTGTTCAAATATTAAATCTTTATGCATTCACTGACTTTACACTCACAAGGGAACATACAAAACTTAAAGCAATCTTAGTCCTGCTTTTGAGTCAGCATGGGAAAAATTACTTAGGAGGAATGGAAGAGACAGGCTATTGATGGAGAGAGATCAGTGCACAGGTTGGGGGGTCACTTCTGCAAGAAAAGGTGCAATCTTCTCAACGCTTTTGACAATCCCTAGTGAGGCATCACTGGGGAAAGTTCTTATTAATCACAAATCACAAGCACATTGGCCATTCCTGGCAAAAAAAAAAAAAAATATTCATGCATAGTTATGTCTCAGTCAAGGCGATGTTGAACACAAGAGAAACATAAAGGGAAGAAAGGAGGGGTCAACCAAACATGAAGATGTCAACTGGGTAAGACAGCTGCTTTCCCCTTGTGACTTCTACATATTCACTCCTTCTGAACATTCTACCAAGGGAACATTTTCCTGCAATGGCCAGTCATCGCTATGCACCACAGGCACATTGTACTTTATAAGTGGTTAGGACAGACGATGGAGTGTACTCTTGGGGCTGAGGCTTCATGACACAAAGTCCCTCTTCTGGAGCCAAGAAGAGGGTACAACCAGTCAGTTAAAAGAAATACATAAGAAACGATTGCACCTTTAGCAGCTGTGGTTGATTGGTCAACAGATGAGCTGTTGGATCATTCCCCGTGAAGAGAAAGGAAAACTGAGTCTTTTCTAAGTTGATAGATTTATCCTGATAGCAAGCCAAAACCCATTCTCTAAGCTGTACTCGAAGCTGTTACTCTTTGTCAAGAACAATAATTAAAAAGTTAAAACTAAAGTCAATGGTAGCTCCTTTTAGCAAGAGCAAGCTGTCTTCTGATTAATAATATAGTTTGTTTTAAAAATCACAGTATTACTTTCTTCCTAATATTTAACATTACTTAGCGCAGTTTCCTGGTATATGTAATAGTAGCATGCTGTTGGGTCTACTATTATCTCAGAGCCCGATGAAGCAAACCTTTGGCTGACAGAGTAGAGAGAACTCGTTTCATATTGGGAAAGCAAAGAAAACTTCATACAAAGTAGAAGAGTATTTGGATGGATGTGCCATTTCAAGACAGTCCTGGTTGGGGGGGGGGGGATACTGGAAGCAAAGAGAGGGACAGCTGCTAGCCTTGCAAATCATACATCCAGTCAACATCATAATGCAATGCACAAGAAGCCAGCAAAAACTGAATATGTGGGAGGTTTTGCTGAAATACTGTGAAAACGCAATCACTGTAACTGTATAAAACTTGCTCTCGACATAACATAACATAAAGGCACCATTGATATCTTTCTCGTTTTTTTGAAATATTGTAAAAAATTGCTACATATGGCACATAACACATTTTTACATACATATATTTAATTTATAAAAGTTTTTTTCTTCCTGTTTTCTATTTGCAGAACTGCTAAAATAAAATAAATTGTTTAATTTAAGGTGAAATACTTTATTATATAAAATAAAGTTTTACAGGTGAATCTATGTGTTTATTTAGGTTTTATACAGCAATAGGGTCTTGGTTTGCAATTACACTAGACAACCTGGCCTGTAATTCTCCCTGTGAGGAGAAGCGGCCTGCTGGGTTAGTCCTGCTATCAGCCAGACGGAAGGCAGGGGCTGCCTCAAGACTGGCTGCCAGGGGGTTCTGTATGCCCAGGAAAGGTGTGTCTTCACCGACTCTTTCATCTTCTGTTTCACTCTCTGAGTTAGTGCTCACAGAACTTGTGTTGCTGTCCATTTCCAACCTATTGGCAATGTGGCCATTGGGCTTGGTTCTTTTGGCCCGCCGGCTGTTGGTGAGTTTCTTAAGAGGCTCTTGAACTGGCTCATACTCCTGGGTCGTTTCATACTCCTCATCCTCCACTATCCTCAATGGGCTAGGGGGGAGGCTGGTACTCTGATGTGCAGGGTTGTGATGAAAGGAGTTGAGTTGCTGGGAGTGGTGATCGTACTTCTTCTCCCGTAGCCTTGGTGGTGTCACAAGAAGAAGAGGCCTCTCTTCTTCCACAAATGGGCTGACTGCCATGGAGGGCATGGACACCGTCATGCTGGACACAGGTGGAGACATTTCCGAAGGGGGCGATTTAGGGGAGCTTGGCGTGTGGAAATCTACAGGTGACATACGAGCCGGGGTGGTCATGGCTGATACATACCTGTATGAGCACAGAATATCCCACATGAGTGTGGTGGAATTAAGAGGGCATGGATCAGGGAAGGGTGGGGGACAGAGTTCACTATGGGATATAGTCAGAGAATAGTCATCATTGAATACTTAAGTTTTACACTAAGGAGTTTGTCACCCTTGGATCCTATCATTATAAAGCCAAGAGTTTCCTTAGAGGAATCATGCAAAGATTGGCTAAATCATCTAGCTCATTAAAGCTTTTGAGAGTTTCTGTCTCATCATGAATGTACACAAAAGCACGTGAGCCAAGAAAAGAGGGCTCCCAAGAACCTCTCAGTTTATAACAACCAAGGCTTGGGGACTTAGAAGGGAAAGAAGTATTCTTAAATACTATACCTTCCTAAAGGCCAAGGGGTCTTAGAGAATGAAGCCCAAATGGGGAATGGAAGAGGATCTAAGATGAGTTGCTGACAGCTGGATCTGCATGCATTTGGATCTGTAAGCCTTGTTTCTCCTTAGCTCAGCTATAAGGTTATGTCTTATGAAAAAAAAAGAGCATAGCAACTTAAAGATTTATTCCTGACAACAGTGTAATACATTTGTGTGCTTTTAAATTGAAATTTTCATGAAATGCTACTAGCCAACATTCAACTTGCAACCGTCCATTTCAGGGTGCAGTACATCCAAAGGCAAGCCTGAGAGGAACCACAATATGGTTTCATGTCACCACAGTGTACACTGACTCCAATCTCCCATCTGTCTCTCATCCAAACCCCAACACTTCATTAGCTTTTGGCTTTCTTCCAGGAATACTTGCAAAGATCCTCACAAGTAACCTAGCGAGCTTCTGGGTATACACAAGGGTTGGCTGTACAAGGGTAGCTCATGCCATGCTATGTTGGAAAATGCCACCATTACAGTCCAGACACTGGGTGCCCGTTTTGCAGCACTGTGCCTTCCCTAGATCAGAAAGGCCTTTCCTCTGGGCTGAGTCTCAGTCACATTCCTCAGCTTTTGATAATGGTGCTAGCAGCACACAGCACTGAATGACTCTTCCTGACACTGACATTCACAGTCTAATTTGATGTGACCTGTGATGACACAGGATATAGGGAAGAGGAAGTCTATTCATTCTCCCACTTTCCCATGATTCATGGTGCTATACAAGTGAGACCCACCAGGTTTAAAATTGGAAAAAGTGTCTCAGAATTTGAAACATTTGGGGCTCAAGTCTGGAGATACCTTTTGAGGGTATTTAAATTAGACACACTGAGAAATACTAAGCACAGTTCATCCAACACATACAAGTGATTCATGCCACCACCACCCCCTCCCCCCGACAACCCATGCTCTTTCAGTTCAAGACTGTTTTGTAATTCTAGGTAGTATGTGGGTGATGCCTGGATGCCTGCTTTAGCAGGCAGAACCTTCAAAGACAAGCCATGATAATGAAGAGAAACTTCACCCTACTTTCTCTGCATGTTTTAAGGGAGATGACTTTAATAGGAAAAAAATATAATTATATGAGATTGATCCTCTAAGTCATTTTTAGGCTATACTCTTCCACAGATGTGTTATAAAGAGCATATTAACTTCATAAATTCTATCCTGTTCTGAAGCTGCTTTGGGAACAAGGGGAAAGCCCCCAATGGGTTCTTTGCTGTACATTCAGGTCCATAATTGAAAAGTTCTTTGGAATTATATCCATCCATGTAACTGCAAAAATACTTATGGATTTGGCATTATATTGACCCATTAGTCAATGGAAAGAGACTAGACTGAGATAACAATGAAAAAAATAAATAAACTGGATTGGAAAATCAACAGGTAAAGGCTTGCAGATGGGCTAAAAAGTCAGCTGGCCATGGCTTTGTTTTAGCACAGGTGGAAATGGATAAAGAGTTCAATATTCCCTTTTAGTCCTTCTTCCAGCTTGCTTTTTTCTAGTCTTTACTTTGCCTTTGTCATTACTTCTCCAACACAAACTTGATTTCCCCCCCAAAAGGAAATACAAACATTCTCGAATACATGGTAATATTGGAGGCAATATCTGCTGTGACATTCACCTATAAGATTTGGCAAGCTCATCACACAAGACCTTTATTTATCCATCACTTGTTGGGATTTCATAAAAGGGATGCAAAGGCAGTGGAACATAAAGAGGTGTTTCCTCATGACCATTAGCAATGACAGAGCCCTTGACTTGATTTAACTGAGGCGAGAGGTAGGTCAACTAGTGCATGAGAACACAAGGGCAGATCAACCATTGAGGTAGAGGATGGACAACTGGCCAATCGGAATTAGATGAGGGTCCTTAAAATGTTACACCTGAAGAAAGTAAGACCCCAGTGAGTCTGAACTTATGGTCAGGTCTGAGAACTCCAAGTCAGTTGTACCTTGCACATCATGTTACTCCTGCTCTTTAGGAGTTGGTTGCCTTTCAGCCACTGGGACGATGGTTGAAGCTCAGGAAGAAGAGTTTAGCCAAATAAGAGGATGGCTTCATCAACTAGGAGCATGGCACCCCTTATATAAGGATGCATTTCTTTAGGTGAGACTGCAGGTGCTCATGGGATTCTCTCACTGAGTGAGTGTCTCCTTCACCATAGCTTTGCACTTAGGTTTTACCTTTCACTATGAGGAGAGTCTCGGTACGAGTCAGGGGTTTCTCTGGCATGCCTGAGGAAGCTGTTACACTCGCGAGGGCCTCCCAGGCCATGAAGACGTCCTCGTGGGCCCCCAGCTGGGCTGCTGTGCCTACTGTTTTCTACTGATGACATCATGATCACGGAGTGGCTTTCTGAAATGATGCTTTCTGTGTGCCCATTACTCCAGCTGTGTAGAAGGGAAATGTAAGAGGCCGTGAGAGAGATTGGCTTAATTATATGCAAAAACGGCAAAGAACAAAAGTGAATCTAGCAAGTATTTCAAGCCATTGATACATCAGTAGCCCAGAATTGATGTAAAAATCTTTCCTGTAAAAAGAATCTTGATTCAGATTGGATTTGGGAACACATAGTTTATCATTTGTTCATTCAATCCATAAATATTCATATAATGCCACTATGTAGCAAGTACTAATGTGGCTCACTGTGCTTGAGTGTCTTGGGCTAACCAAAGGCAAAGCTGTGTGTTTTATGTCTGGAGTCTGCGGCTGTACGCGGTAGAGTGAGCACAGCCAGCCTGACATCACCAGAGCATCTAAGAGCTGAGTGCTCAGCTATGCAGCCATTTCCAGGGAGCATTTCCTAGGGCGGTCTATGCTTTAGAAACAAATTTCTAAGTATCACATGGAATTTAGACAGATGTTTTTCCCCCACAGCGAGTAGCAATTCAGTGGGTAGCTGAGCACAAATCAATGCAATTTCTACACTGAGGAATAGCAAACCTACAAGGTAATTATCATTAACCACTTTTTATTGTTTTAAATGGAAACCTTAGGCTTATTAGGCTTACAATGTAAAAACAGTTAATATCCAAAATCTATCAATGTTCAAAGTCAGTACATTATACTGCTTTTAACTGTCTTCTTGGCTGTTTGTTAGGAACTGGTACAAAAAGGTAAGTAACAAAGGAATTTATTCTTAGGAAAATGTTTCCCTCTGAAACATTTTCCCCTCATACCTGTGACTAGGAGTCTGGGTGACAGTTGTGGAGTGATGAGCTGTGGAAGTGTAATGACTGGTGGAAAAGGATGTCTCCACTTCTCTTTCAACAACATGCTCACTGGAGATGACGTTTTTAGATACATATTGCTGAATAAACAAAGAGACACAACTTGAAAGTTCATGTAAGTCAAATACACTCACACGTATGCCCTAGCTTCTCTCTCTCAGCTGACCAGATAGCAGACTTTTTTCTGGCCATTCTGGCTTTGAGGATGGATACATGGAGTAAATAAAGCCCTTTCTCAATATTTGCACAATATAGGTCCTAAAACCTCAACTTCATTGCTCTCATTTCCTACTGAGAACAGAAAGGTCACAAATATTCATTCCGATATTATTTTTGTGCCCACTTTTCTAGGTCAAGAAGACTGATATCTGAGTGCAGCAAAATGTACACATAGTCTGACTTATTTCAAATTTCAAGTCACTAGAAAAAAATGTGAACTTTGGTATTTTAGACCCTTCTCTTTGAAGTTCATAATGCCATATGAAATTGTCATATGTCAATATGTGTCAGCATAACATGGTAGCTATTAGTGCCTGCTGACAGCGAGCTGCTGTGTTATAAAATTGTAAGCGCCATTTGTATTTGTATAAATCTAAGTGAAATCAGCTAAGCCACAAGAAAGGGAATAGAAGGAGATATGTGATGAGTAGACTAGGGCCCTTTAGAGTCTGTTGAGATGTGGACTCTAAAAAACCTGATCTTCAGGGAAGGTCCTAAATGCACAACTTGAATTTTATAGGCTGGCTCTTTCTATTTACAGGAACATTCTCCCTTCTGGATCTTCCTGGATCTACTTCCAGACAGGGCAGCCTTACCAGGCCGGCCTTGAACTTGCAGAAAGCCACCTACCTCTGCCTCCCTAAGTGCTGAGATTATAGGCATATGCCACCACGCCCTGCTTCCCATTCAAGTAGAGGTGTTGAACCCAGTGGATCTATTGAATATGCTATTTAACAATTCTTATGCACTCAATAAGTGTGCTCGACTAAATACTTTATGCAAACTATTTTAGTAAAGTAAGAATTATTTTTAGGCCTCTTATAATTAAGAAATAAGGTTGAGAGGAGTTATTTGTGCTACAACTGCAATCCAAACAGTCATGGTCCTGTTGCTGTTACATATTATATTGTATATGATTATATCACATTATATATAATATATGCATTATATTATATAATATACATTAAATGTTATAGTTAATGTTGGTACTTGGAGAGCATCTCCAATCTTGGCCTTGGAGAGCATTCTAAATAACCCCACTATTGGGAGGAGAACAAAAGCTCCCTATTAGCCCTTGGTATAATGTTCTTCCATCATTCTACCAAAAGTTAGGAGACTTGGGGGTACGGTAGTAACCCTCAGCTCCAGACTTGAATCTATGACCCATTTTCTCCGCCCAAGACAGACCTTCTCTTACCAGATGGAAAAATGGTATTAATGATTTCAACTTTATCTATTAAGAAAGCTACACATTCCCAGGGAAGAATGGGGATTGTGCTGGAACACAAAGAACAACACTCCAGAACCGAAGAGGTTTGGGAAAAGCTCTGGTCATGGTCTCTTAACGTGAAAGGTTGATGATATGCAAACAGTCTCACAGAGTAGTGTCAAATTTAGAAGCGAAGTGTATGGAACAATAAGAACAAAATAATTGAATAATTAAGTGCATTCCACCTAGAGGGCATGATCTCACATACAAGGAGCCGGGGAATAAACAAGTTTTACATTCTCCTATCTTTGTTCCTTAATGGTGAGATGTTTTCCACCTTTTCATGCCCTAATTTCTTCTTTTGGAATCAGAATCAGAAAATCACATGTACAATGAAGGGTCCCTAATAAAAATACTCCAAAGCCCTTTGCTTGATTTGCTATGAATCAGTTGTATACTGGAGTATTCCTTATGATTCTGGTTTTATTATTTATCATTTATGCTGTTTTTCCTTCTTGCTATAGCTTTTCTGCAAAATAAACCAAACATTACCCCAAAGTTCTAAATGACACAATGTAAAAAAAGAAAACTATGCTACTATAACACAAGATCCATTTTAAAATAGCTTTCATTATTTTTCCCCGGCAAAAACCTTGGATTTCTGGAAGCCCCTGTGATAAAGGGCAGAAGGTGAAAGCCTAAGATTAGAAACACCAACTTCAGGGTGCCTGAGCAGCAAAGAGATGCTTGGCGTTTTCAGTGGGTCAGTCAACATACATTCACCAGCTGCACGTTCTCTGGTTGTGGGTTTGGATGGTGAGGCCCATTGGCTATGTTCACCATGTTGTTCCGTTCTGATCGAAGGCTCTGCCGAAGCCGGTCATGAAGTTTTTGCCGCTGTTTCCTGGATATGGCAAGAGAAGCATATGTTTGTGCCTATTACTACTTTTTGTTTATTTATTTTTGCTACAGCCAAATCTTTATTCTGTTAATGCTAATGAGTAACTTGAGGCAGTCAGCTGGTGGTGATAATGAGGAAAGGGAAGTATGTGTAACTCTATCTCCGAATTAGCAGTATCACATTTCCTTAGAAAGTAGGTTTTAATAGTAGATGGAATTCTTATAGAAATGTAGCTGTTGTACTGATGAAGAATTTTAAAAAGGAATAAAAAACGAAAATATGTTAGAATTTGGCTAAACTCTCAATATTCTTGCTCATTATATCTTTGTCTAAATAGAGGTAGCTATCAGTCTAATTTTTTTACTATGGAATTGATAAGGCTGATTCCATTTATAAATTTTCCTAAGGATTTAAGAAAATTAACAGCTTTTTATTTGTACATTTGCCACAGTGACTGTGTGTGCATATTACCTGCATATCAGTGGAATATTTTGGCACCACATTTTGGCATTACATTTGGCATTATAACAAGAGTTTACACTTGCAATGCTTTTTGCAGATGAGGCAGTAAATAGTTAAATTTGAATCTAATAAGACTAATGACACCAATTCCGTGGGAGCTTTGTGTCTGTTACTCAGTCCTTACAGCATGTTGAATCTTGCAATGCTGTGCAAACACAATCCACGCTGTAGATTTTGTTGTAAAAATGCATGTTACCACTGTTTTCTCATGTAACATTCAGAACAATTCATTCCTATGACTAGTTTTGACCAGAAGAACATTATGTCATCAGATAGAAAGCAAACAAAACTCTATTAATTGAGAACTATATTTTGACTTGAAGAAATCCTCAATTGAGAGAAATGCAAGGGAACCCAGCTGTCATCCATTGTGTGTCCTAACACGGATACGTGTAGAAGGCCAAGTGTAATAACTACACATCTTTAAGAATTTCTCTTTAACTTTTTTCAAGAAAATTTGGCTTGCTTCTCCTTCCACAAAAATTCCTTTCTACACTGCACATTTATAAAGCATACATGTTGGAAACACAATAGAATCATATTAACTCTCAAAAAGAAGCAAACATTCTGTTTCTTAAATATCATCAAATGCTTCTCTTCTTTCTTAAGTTTCTGGGTTCATTAGACTTATCCCCGGTTATACCTTTGACATTTACACTCTTACTATGCAGTGACTGTGTGGAACTCTGATTCTACAGCAGTCTGTCCGAGCCTTTATCCATTTACAGAGCCCCGGGCACTGAGAAATTTATTTAGTTGCACACAAACAGGCAAAGGTCCACAAAGTCTATTACTCAGTTGGGAACCTAAGGACGTAAGTCCCTAAGCTCCTTTTCTCTCCAAGCCTTGGGCATGGGACCTGGTGCTGCACAGCCTTGCCTGCCTAAGCTCCTTCTACTGTAAGGGAAGTGGACAGAGTCGAGGGAATGTTTACTTGGTTTTGCAGTAGGCCACCACACACATGATGCCGACCACCAGCAGGGCGATACAGATGCCAGTAATTGTCAGCACTCTCTTCTGGTAGAGTTCTTCCGCTTCTGGAAAGGGGTGAGAGCAAATGTCACTAACGTCATCTACTATCACAGGGGCTTACAACTGAACAGTTGGCATGCTTCATGACATTACCGTTGTCTGCAAGACAGTCAACACTTGATAATTTTTTACGTTTACACACTTGAGGTACAGTATGTTCTGTGCTATACTTTGAGTATAAATAGCAAGCTAGCTAGGGCCATTGAAAGTAAAAATATTTTATGATTCCTAATTACAAGCTTTAATTCTATATGATATTAAACTAGAACATCATAAACATTCATTACAAAATAACTGATTAAAGCTGTACCAATGTTATTCTTTTATTAAATATCTTATTAAAATTCTCTTGCAGAGACAACTGGAATCAGTATTTATAAAAAGAGCTAAGACTGACAGCAGGGAGAACCTCTATTCTTCCTCCATTCACCACCCTCCACCCCATTCCTCTTTCCACCTCCCTTAAGTTTCTATGTCATCACCTCACATCCAGTGGTCTTTACAAAGAGAATTTCTACATTTAACAACATTTAAGTAAGAGCTATTTGCGAACATGAACTTGGCTTGTAGTTAGGAAGTAAATTAAGGCAACAGCCCCACGGTTTAAAGTAAATGAAATAGAAGAAACAGTATGCGTTGAGGGAAGAGGGAGCTGTGCCAGAGGAAACCCAACGTGGTGAGTAGGACACTGTTGGGTCACATGGGAGGTTTGCTCTTTGGAGGAAAATGGTTGTTACTCTATTAGTAGAAGTTGGAGAAACAATTTGTATTAAGCCCATCATTAACACAAATGATGTATACTTTGGCCTAAGTTACATATTCCCATATCAGGCAACTTGAATATTCTAAGGGGGTGTGTGCTCTGAGCGCTGAACTGTAGGTACCACTCTGCTCACGATGCAGCAGGTCTGTAATTGGTGGAAACTTTTCTAATGGACAATGAGTGCCTTTGGAGGATGGCTTGGTTTTATACAAAGGTGAGTGGGGTTGTTAGCAAAAGTTGCAGAGTTTCTGGGAATGCTGATTACTTAGCGGCTGAGCTCCCAATAATCAAGTTGCATGTATGGGAAGATCTTCACAGTTTACCCAGTGCACATTGTGAATGGCTTGTTGCCATTGGGCAAGAACTAGAGAACACTGAACAAACAGAGAGTCCTTATCCAGGCACCAACATCAATGTCTCCAACTTCAGAAGCTGTACCTTTCTCTTCATTCAGAGAGGGCAGGTCACAGGAAGTTTTCTTAAAAAAAATGATTAAGTGAATTTTAATTTCTATCAAATAAAGGATCTTATCATGAGTGGAAACCTTTCCTACAAGCCGAGTCCATGATAATCAAGTCCCAGTTGACAGGTCAAGAGCATTGTCAAATCAAATTAATAGAGCACTGATCATTAAGAGGAGAATAGAAGTCAGTGGGTAAAAGACCACAACACTGAAGAGATTATACAAAAATAAACAGAAAGGGTTGGAGTTGGAGAGGGAAAACAAACCAAGAGGACAAACAGATGGAAAGAATGACAGAGAGCAAGAAAGTCAAGTACAAGGGGAAAACAAGGTTAAAAGTTAGGGAGCCATCTGGAGTCCCTGGCACAGCATGCCTGATGTTAAGGGAGGAAAAAAAATAAAGAAAGCAATGAAAACCAGACGGAGGAGATGCTTGGGAGGGGGGAGGAAAAGGTGGGTACAAAGGGGGAAGGGGTGTCCCATACAGCATAACTGCTAACCTGGGCTAGCTGTGACATGGAAGCCATGATTAGAAAGCGAAGCAGTTGGTGCATTGCGGTGCCACAGTATGCAGGAGACATACAGTTGGTGTCATGGAGTTTGTGTGTTTCTGTGTGCCCTGCAGATGTCTAACACTAGCACGAACAGGGGGGCTTATGAGTTCATTGCTCATATCTATTCTTCACCCACAGACAATGACCTGTAGCCTCCCTCCCCGGTATCCTAAATGTTTTTTAGAGTGTCTGTTGAAGAAGCACACTCTTAGCTCACTCCTCTTGCTTCCCAGGGCGTCTTCCCTTCACAATAGCACAAGCTGATTACAAAATGGAGCATTAACGCTGTCATGAAGAAACGACAGGGCCTGCGTTCTCCTTCTGTCTAAAGTACTTCTTTCTTTAAAACTGGTGAGACTTGACATGGCTGCAGCTGAGAGGCAGAATGCTTGCCTGGAATGTATGAGATCCTGAGTTTGGTTTCACAAATGAACGAGGGAAAAGGAAGGCTCTTTGTTGCAGCTTTTCACTGACACCCTAACACGCTTACCTTTGAAAGAGGTAGAAAACGGTTCCTGCAAACTTCAAAAAATGGGAACATACAGAAGGACTGACGTTCACATTGGGGTCATTGTGGGTTGACTCCCAGACTCTCAGGGATTCCTGTAACAAGTTCTCTTTCAGCAGTTTTTGACTAGGAAGGAACAGACTGAGCTGGACCAGTGAACTGCTCACATCTGGTGATCAGCCCATTCTTACTGCTTGTCAGTAAAGCAATTATTTCAGGGCCTAGAGAGTTCAGTAAAGGACAGAACAGCTCATGGAAGCCAGCTTAAGGCAGGGAACACAATCACAGGGATTAAATTCTGTGTTCACATCAGCGCAAATTACAATTTTCTTGCCTAAATTTCTTCTTGATTTTTTTTCATGATTTTGCTGCATCAGGTCAACTCTACAATATGAATGTTAAAGGAAAAAAAAAATCTTTGACAAACAGCATGTTCCTTTAGCCTATTCTTCTTCTCATGTATTTTTTTTTTAATTACTATTTTTTTTTTTCTAGCATGACTGTATCCACAGGGCAAGAGCAAATCAAAGCAAGTACTAAAAATCAGCCCAGAGGTCTGGCCTGTCTCCTTGAGTGGAAATGCTCCAAGTCTCTCTGATTTGGCTGGATGGACCATGGTGAGTCACATCAAACACATTCTCATTCTGATGTGTCCAGGAGAAAAGACAGAGTCCTTCTTGCTCTCTTGTTTTTAAATGACCCTTAAGGTCAGGAGTTATTTCAGGATATAATGGACTGGCTTTCCACTCTGGGAAGCCTTGGAGATGTGTGAATGACAGCACATGGCTCTTATGAACTGTGGGAATAGCTGAGGGAGCAGTTACATAGCTGAACTATATGACTCCACTAGAATTAGAAATAGTAGATTCTATAGTCAGGCTGTAAAAGCTCCGAGTGGGGAAATTATGCTAGTGATAAAGGTAATTCTGAGGGTTTGGCTATTGGCTTTCTGAAGGAAAGGCTAGTACTGTGAGATTTCCAAAAGAGGGATCCTTCCTATGAGGAAGGAAGAATCTCCAAGAGTAATGTCAATGACTTCCTTGTGTTCTTCAAGCTTGGGATTTTTTTTTTTAATACCAAAAAAAAGCCCATCCACATAAATATGAGCTTTTTTTTTTACCTATCAGATAAATGCTTTTCTTTTTAAGTTTTTATTTTCTTGGAGAGATGGCAGTTAAGCTTCTCCCCTTGTACTGGGAGAGCTGCCTACTATCTCATGTGTCATCGGTTAGGTTTCTGAGTAGATGATGTTTTCAGTCAAAAGGAAACAAGCTGTGGGATGCCCTTGCTGCATGTCGCCAAGCTAGTTGCAATAGGAGAAAATTTTTAATCAGGACATGCTTCTGTTGACATAAGACCCTGTTCTAGGATGTTAGGTAAGGTTCATAAAGAGCCTGGCGATCAGGGAAGGTAGCAATCTCCCGCTCTCTCTCCAAGACCAGCCATTTTCTTTCTTTCTTGCCTTTAGAATGAAGGATCTTTTGGAATATACCTACATTTCATTTGCCTTTGGGAGCTTTTAATTTTTTTTTGTGACACTTTCTTATATGATGGCTTATCTGAGTAATGTTAACCTTGGTGATGATTCCATCAGCACTGGAATGCCCACCTATAATAATATCAACTGCTTTTTATTTCCCTGCTTATAAACAAATGAAGTTGACTGGAGTCATACTTGAGTATCTTCAAGAAATCTGAGCGATTCAACTCCTTGGATATAAGACTATTGTGATGTAATATACTTCTATGGTACCATGTTAAAGAGATGAATTTTATGTTGTATGTGAAACCCCCATCAAGCTATCTTTTATGTGAATGTATTTAAAACTTTTTGTTCTCTGGTCTCTGGTTTGGTTTCTCCTGTAGCCTATGCACCACTCCAACTTACCCCAGCTTTTAAGTAACAGCATGGTCCAATGAATGAGTCACACAATGTGGGGTCTATGACAAGTTGCAGCAGGAGGGAGATTTTAATCTCTAAGTGGAGTTAGGCTTGGAAATTTAAAACCTGCTGCATTCCATAATATTTCCACAAACTAGTCATAGATCGAAAGCAGAGAAACCAATGTTATAGCTGTATGATCCCTTCTAAAGAAAAAGGAAATTAGTTAGGAACTGAAAGTAAGAGCAGGAAGGGCAAAAAAGTTCAGTTCAGAGGCTCTACAATCTGCAGGCTAAAAGGAATGATGATTGGTCCATACCCATAAATTCAATCCCAAGATGCTCTGCCAATGCAGAAAGTTGACAAAATAAAAAAAAAAAAAAAAGAAAAAAAGAAAGGAAAAAAGTTTCAGAAAAGAGCAATACACCGCACTCCAAAACCAATTACACATGACTACGACAGCTCTCCATGCGTGCACACTGAACAGGACAGGCTGTGAGTGTTAAGGAAGCATGCTCAGGAATGCCCAAGCCCACCAGTGAGGCATGAAAGCACCAGCCAGGGGCTTAGTAACCTTTCAAAGCGTCTACAGAGGGAGGTTAGGAGCTAAACCATCCTCGACCCATCATTCAAGATCAGAAGGTTTTCATAACCAGAAAAAAGCATTTGTAATGAAGTTCTAAGGGGGTTTTCATTGTTGTTTTTATTTATTTATTTTAAACTAAAGGCAGCTAGTAGCAGAGACAGGAGTAGAAGCCAAGAAAACGGTAATTTGGCTTGTAATTTTTATCATATTGGATTTACTTTTCCTTGCTGGTAGGTGGTTATACTTTAGTATTAGTTTTAAAGTTGAACCTCCATTACTTAATGTTCCACTTCCTTCACTACATACAAAAACCTCTACCCAGAAATAGGAGAAAGCTTGTTCCCAGTTCTTCATATAATTTCTGTGTAGTATTGGGCAACTTGAAACCTCAGCGTATTTTGTTTGTTTGTTTGTTTGGGTTTTTTTTTTGTTTTTAAGTTGCAAAAAAAAAAAAAATCAAGTGTGTAGGTGGAAATAGAGTTTCTGGGTCCTTTCACGTCACTTTAATTTACTACCTTTTCAAACTATTTGTTACAGGTAATTTGACCAGCTCTCCCCAGTGCTGAGCTCCAGTGGGCACAGGTGCCAGCGAAATCTCCACCCCATCTAGGGAAGAGGATTGAACAGTGCGATCTCATGCCCAGCATCCCCTAAGCTCTCTACAAAGCCTGCACAGGTTAAAATGAAGAGGCAAAGAAGAAACTCTCCAGGAGGGATACTTTTCCTTCTTGGAACAATAACTGATAGTCAAGTTTCATCAGGTGGCAGCTTAGGCTTTCCCTTTATGAGTACAATATAGAGAGGATGAAGGGAGGGAAGGATCAGAAACTGAAATCCGTATATATATTTTTTCTTAACGGATTTCGGACATACCAGGGATGTCCACTAATAAATACAACGAGAGAGCTCTAAAGCTTGTCGTTTCTGATGGAGGGATGTAGCTTTTAAAAATATACGTCAGGGCATGGAAAAAGTAGTCCTTAAAGAGATGAAACAAGTGGAAAGCTCATCCTGGCTCAGATCCTGCCGCTCCCACTTACCTGTTGAGTAACTTTGGTCAAATTTATCTCTTACTGAGCAAATTCATGACATACAGGCTGACTGGAGACCCTATGGAATGAACCATTGTGACTAAATCAGAGGATTTAGTGTTCTGGGGAACAGACATATCTGGAGGTATCTTTCAGGACAGTCAGTGCACTCAGGGTTACACTGAGTAATTTTATGCAGGGAAATTCTGAATGCTCCTAAAATCTAACAAAACAATAGACTTGAAGATTTCGTAGCCACTTGAAGAAACGATGCTTCCCAAATAAAATATATATCACAAAAATGGGAGGCATGACCTATAAAGACTTCTGATGTGGGTCTAGTATAATCCTACAAGTAATCTGAATTTTTCATTAATTAAGAGCCAGAAGCCTTAGGGTTAATTCAGTTGTAGAAGATATTCATAATAATATAATCTATTCAAATACAAATGAAGTCCTTTGCCTCTGTGCAGTTTGTCAGACTGACATATTTTTCCCATTTGCTTTTTCATATAAACTTTGAAGCATCAGTGTGAAAAACTTCAGTTTTAAAGGAAACTGACAACAAACTTCCTCATTTTTTTTTTTAAACAATGCTATGGTGCAATAGTCTTTTTAGAGGCTTCTCTGTCTCTTGCCTTTTCCTCCTAAAAGTTACTTATAATTTAAGGGTTAAAATCAAGACAAATCTATAAAAAAAAAATCCTTTCTGAAGAATGATTCCATGCCTTTGTGAACACTCCTAATGATTTGTAGTAGTTGTGTAGAAAGCTTGCTTAAGTCTTCAATGAAATTAGTAGCATGCCCATGCATACACATTACTGCATTTACGGCTTTATAGGAAAGCCTGGGAGCCTAACTATAATGTCATTTCAAGGGAAGTCATTCATATCAGGCAGCTCCCATTTTGAATAATTCAATGGGAAATTGGTACTTAAAATGGGAATCTCTTTTGGCTGTGAGCACTAACAAGGAAACAAGCAGAGGACACATGCATCCATCATCCTAGAGCCAGAGCAAAGATGCTCTCACTTATTTTTACTGTTGGTAGCTCCATCTCTTTACATCCAACAAAAGAAGCAGGATATGCAGACTAACTGTTCATTATGTAAAGAAATTCTTTCTATGTGCTCTATTTAATCTAAAGCTGGTGTTAGCTTATTATGTCGCACGTGGGTCTACTGAACTTCTGGCTAGCCACTATGTTCTTCAAATTCAATTAATAATTCACGAACACAAAGGTTACTGTAAACAATTGAGTTTCCTTTTCTACATGTGATTTCCTGCCAGGACCATAGCAATATAAAAAATTAATTTAAATCTAAGAGTCTCCAGAAACTATTAAATATTGACTTGCTAATCCTTTGTGTTAGGATTTTATAATTGCTTGACGAAAACTGATTAACCTGGAGGTTAATTTAAATTTTCAGCTGCAGTAGAGAGAAGAGCAATAAAATAACTTTCTTTCATCAAAATTATATAGGCATTGCAGTTATGGTTTCTGTCCAATTTTCACAGCATTCAGGGTGTTATTTTTAACATCTTTGGGATTGTTTATGCAAATAATCTCTAAGACATGCAGGTGTGATTTTCTGTATCTCTGGACTTTTCTAAAGTGGTCTACTAAGGCCAATTCTAAAAATGATGAATTTAGTGTTGTGACTTTAATTTCAGACTTACCTTTACAAATGTAGGTGCTTTTTTTTTTCACAACCTGCATTGTTACTGAACCCTTTTGCTTATTCCCCAGTTTCCATGTGAAGAATAGCAGACACACACACACACACACACACACACACACACACACACACACACACA